ATTGCCATTACAGGGGGGAACCATGTTGTTTTGACCAAAGAAAAACATCTTCCGCTTTAAAGAGCTTCTCACAGAGTGTCGTGTGGAAACTACACCGCCCCCTGGCGACCACTGTGTCAACTACAACATGTTATTTCACCCTGCATACTGTTTGATAGAAGGATCTTTATTAGCTTTTCAAATTGACAGCAATTACAGAGAAGCAGTCATGGCAATACAAATCTTGGATCTAACACTCCCTCCAACAGCGCTCATTGAAAAAGGAAATCATGCAAGTAAAAGCAACACGAGAATATCAAAGATAACATATAGTGCAAGTTCAAGATTCAAATATTTAACAGATGTTTAGTTACATAGTAGAACAGTGTAGTTGGTGGCAATGAAAGTCTTAAAATCTTCAGTCCCCTCAAATAGTGCAAAAATAAACTTTACACATACAATTAAATGAGGATGTAAAATAGTGTAAAGAAATAGTGCAATTAACATAAAGGTGCAAGTGCAGGAATAAGCAAACAATATTCATGTAATCAAATGGGACAGAAAGCAAATGTAAATACTGAACAGCATTATTGTTTGTTGTAATAATATAAAAACACAAATATGTTGATGTAATAGCTATAAAGAAATGGATGTGGAGACACTCCATCCATGTTGTTTTTCAGTAACTCAGAATGCACCTGAGCCCCAGTTTGCGAGCCACCTGTGTATAGCAGGGATATATTGGAGGCTAAAAACGGTCAGCGGCTATTCCAAAATCAGCTCATCATAATGCAAACACACATCCACCAACATGAGCAAATGGCAGTTTAAAAAGGATGACAGGCTCTCAAAGGATCTTTTGTCTGGGGTGATAGTCTGTAGATTACTTTGTGAGGGATGGTGCGCCCATAACCACAAATCAGATCGCAGCGTTCCAACTTTTCCTATCCCTCTTGTCCCTTGAGTGCACAGAACAGAGCTTATCCCTGAGGGTGCTTGAAGCACAGTTGTGACAATGTTGTCGACGATATATTGAACATACACGCTTAAAGCATTATGGCAACACTGCATGCTTTCACACCCCGCAGCTCTTCAGAACTAATTCACAATGACAAGCTGACATAATGACTTGATAACCATGACGTGTGTAAGGTTAATCACAGCACTAAAAGGACACAGTTTGCATATTGATTGATTACTGTAACGTGTTGTTTTCATTCTGTATGGCAAAACCAGGCAGAGCAGATGTCTCCCTGTAGTCCATCAAACACGCCGGCTGTTTGCTAGTCCTCGAGGACTTGCTCAGGGCGGAACAAACACCTCCACTGGGGAGGATGATGAAGGATATCAGGTAGCTCACAATCTGTCATCATCTAACTCTAAAAGCTCTGCCGCAATGGAAGGACAACAATACAAAATGGAGCTTTTAGCAGTCACTTACTGCCGAATTCCAATTGAACCATACCAAAAGGATATTTGAGGATCAGTAATGTTTGAACTTTCTCTCTATCTGCCTCCCTCCCACTCTCCCTCTCGCTCCCTCTTAAATTCATTCAAGGCCTTTTCTCCCTCCGGGCTTTCCTCACATGGCCATTTTACGTGGGAGTGTACCAGAGTTCTTTCTATGACTGCATTAACTTTGGCCTTCAGAAAGAGCTCTCTCTCCCTCAAAAAAAAAAAAAAGAAGACAAAAAGGCTTCGCCTGCAGACCATTTAATCATAAGCTGCAGCCCACTTTGCCATTTGAAGTGCACTTGCCAATGAGATTTAGCATGGTGTGATGGAAACCCTCCCTCTGGTGCTGCAATTCAGTACGCTGTTGATTCCCAATCAATCTTGTTTTCTGTAATTCTAACAGAACACTTTGTATTGATAGTGAACAGGTCAGATCTTCCTGAATATGCAGAATTGTGTGTGGCCGTGCACCCTAGCAGCCTCTCCTGTTGATTTGCTAATAACACTGTCTGGGATTAGACATGCAATAATTGGCAAGAAGATCTGGCGTCTCATGAGTAAGTTCATGGAATAATAAGTGTGAGCCATGGGGCATGTTAACAGGGAGCAAAAACACAATCTGTCAGTGCGTCAGAGCATCCATCACTCCATCACTGCCGATTGCAGTGAGAGGCGTGATGCTGCAGCTGGCTGACTGTCTATAAAACAGCAGCTCCTCAACTTTCTCATGCTGAGGACTCCAACGCAGATAGGCTATTTCTAAAGCATCCCACAGATTAATGAGTGGATAAATGAATTTCCACACTTGATAAATGAGAAAGCAGTGAGATTGAACTGTTACGTCACACATGAGGTCCTGGATGTCCTCGAAGGCCCCTCCGTTCAGTAATCACTGCATACGTACTTGCTCAGGCTGCTTTTTAAAAGAGGGGATTTAGCTCCCAAACTACCCATATAGGTCACACTGATGCTCTGATTGTACAATCTCTTTCTCAGTGGGGGAGATAAAGGGGGAAACAAACTTGTATTCATTCTAGACTTGCAATCGATGGGACTTGTCTGTGAAGTGGATCAATAATGCCTCTCTTTGAAATCATCAATCACGTCAGTGGTGAATTTAAAAAGCGTATTTAGGAGCAGCGTTCTTAAACATCCTGCATTGATGTCTTTCTTTGGTATGGAGAAAAACACCGCTCTGCATCATTAACTTTGTATTATTGCGTGATGGAGCCTGCTGCTGCTACTTCCCCACCTGCTGAACTCCGAGCGCTGTGCGTGATTGGGCTTTCAGACCAAATTCTCCCCGCTTTCACTTGCTGATGGGGGAAGTGAAGCTTGCAGGCCTAAATTGGCTGGAGTATTGTAATAAGCCCAGATCGTACTGGAACCCAGGCCAATGGAGTTATCCTCCACAATGCTGTTTGTGCAGTTGGACATCTGTGATTCTTTTCTCTAATCTTCTCATTTGATTACTTTTGTGCAGGTTCTAACCTGACATGACACACATTCTGCAACCTTCCCATCACTTTCCACCATGTTCAGCTTTGTCCATCTGTCTCTCTCTGGTAATAAAATACCATCAATACTGTGGAGAGGGCAGGTGGGTGGTTGTAATGGAGTAATTTATTTTAGTTGTCACATAAATATAAGTGTTTGATTAGGGAGCCATACACATCAGGCTGCACAAATAGAACCTTTCATCAAATCACAAAGCATGTGACACTATTGACCGCAGAGTTTTCTCACTGGCTGTGTCGTCTTCCACAAGATTCACAATATGTGAAGAAAAAAATGATGCAAGGACAATACAGCCGAAGGATACATTTTGTGCCAGTGAAACAGATGAGTATAACATTTCATACATTTATATTTGAGTATTACAATTACACTCTTCTGTTGAGCCAACTATGGTCGATTGTCTCTCAATAAAACAATCGACCAGCAACAATCTATATTTAGGTATTAGGGCATAAATGCAAGAGAGAGACATAGGCTTGGGAACTCACCATACTAAATCAGAAGTAAAAACTCATCTTGGACTTTGAAGCCCACATTAGCAAAGTTACCAAGACAGAATGCATCCCCCTAAGAAATGCTGCAAAAAAGCAAGGCTGCTCTAGCTGTGAAACTGATTCATGTTTTCACAACTTGCAAATTGGAGTATTGTAAAACCCTTTTTACTGGCTTACCAAAAAAGGCTGTTTGAAAAAGTTCAACAAGTTCAGAACTGCTGCCAAAACAAAGACTGGGAAACTGCAGTCACTCTTGCTTTAGCCACACTGCTTTGGCTCTCCATTACCTTTAGGATTGATTTTAAGGTTCTTACAAAGCACATAATGATAAAGCACTTTCTGACACTTAGGACTTTAACTCCTTATCAATAACAAGAGCCCAAAGGTCCTCTGACGTTGGTATATGACCCTCTCTAGATACATTATGCTAGCTTTGCTGACACTTAAAGGGACAACTGAAGACCCACATAATAAGCATGCATTTAGTTAGTGTGATGTGTTTTTTTTTGTAAATGTTTATGATCATGTCTATTAATTTTGTTCCTCTCTTCTTTTTTTTGTGGTCTTTATATTCAAATTTTTTTTTGTGCTAACACATTGATGACCTTCATGACCATATATCTATGTTCATGACATCCTCAACAAACATTTGGTGTGTCCCTCAGTAGGTATTTTTCACCCAAAATACAGAGACAAAACCTTTCCAGCATATCCCTAGAGGTTAAGTGTCATGTTAACTGATGATGTTCCACACATTTGGTATCCCTACTAACATCACTGTAAATGCCTAGAGGAGCTCAGGTCAGAAGAATTTAATTGCCATTTCTACACTGTAGCTTTGGGCACATGACAATAAAACCTTTGAATCTTAAAAATCTTGAATCTAGACGTATCGCTTAGTAAACAAAGAGTAATTGGCTTAATGTTGGTGTACACTTATACAATTTGGCTAAGGGCAGTAAAACAAGTCCTTCTGAATTGGCAACAATTCAATCAAAATCAATTCATGTATCTTTAAAAAGAAATTGCAGGGTAGGCTACTTAGTTGCAGCATTTCACTAAATATGTTTAGTTACCCTCACTGATCATATGCAAAGTGAATTTAGTAGGGTAACACACCTTGAAGTAATCATTATTATTAATATATTGCATCTAAAATGATCAAATTGTGAATACTTCTTCCTAGAGCTTACAACAAGCTTAACAACAAACAAAAATATACATAACTAAAAACGAGTTGAACATGAACTTTGATATTGTAGAGCTGTAACAATGATGACAGGTTATTTCAATAATGTCCTACAAATATGTACCCGTCCAATAAAATCCCACGCTGCCTGTCCCTTTAAACCGCTCGGTGTCCTGCGCAGAGACCAGCGCAGTCTGGACTGCTCCCAGGCTCTGCGCATGCGCCGGAAGTTGCTGCCGCAGACAGCAGCAACAGCAGTGATTCGGCAGCGCAGGGCAACGGGAGAAAATCTGTCCGTTTTAAACCATGGCGACGTACTAAACGATGCCTTTCGCAGAGGAAAACGGAGAGTAAGTAGTTGTCTCTTTATAATACGGCTACTGCCTGATACTGTGTGACGTCCTCTCAAATTGTGGCATAAATATGAGGAGAGCTTGAGGAGGCAACAATGGGACTGTGTATGTTTCAGACTGGCTGGCTAGGTTAGCTAGCCAGGAGCCTGGGCAGTCAGCTGGCACCCCGACTGGCAACATGCAGCTTTATAGCTACTGTACTGCTCCCTGTATTGTCTGTGGATACACCTCACGGCTTGCTGTCTGTTAGGAGCCAAACATCTTTTTTTCAGGCACTGAAGTAGCCATGTATTCCTGCCTAAAGGTGGTGTTACCTGAATGAAACTGGGCTTGTGTAGTTGAGCTGTTTAGCAATTTTTTGCATTATGACAACAAGCAGTGAGGAGTAAAAAAGATGTCCATGTGCCTGCCAAATCACGATTATATCATTGTGGTATTTATGGTGCAGGTTGTTTCATACCAACTCAAGAGAAAATGTGAGTTCCAGCCAGCTGTGGGGGAAGTTGTGTGTTATCTTGTGTAATTATAAAGTATGGGAGCTGTCACTAAGTTGTTTCCCACTGCTAGTATCTAATACACTCAGTGGGACATGCATGCATTAAATCCAAATTTAGAGTAGCTTCTCTCATGGTGCAGATGCGCGCACACCTTGCTCTCAGCGCGTCTGCAAATAGCACCTCCTAATATAACGACAGAGGAAAAGTGTTCCCACCTTGCAAAGTGTTAAAGGTGATAACAAAAGGTTGACGTCACCGAGCTCATCCTGATCCTGCCGCACAACCTCGACCACTGAGGAGGTGGAGGAGGAGGAGAAGGAGGAGGAGAAGGAGGAGTGCAGGAGGAGTACTTTCAGAGGAGGAGAGCAGCTTTTTTGTTGTTGCCATAACGTCTAATGGTTCGTGTCTGGAAGGAAAAAGGGTCTATCTCTGATCAAATTTCGGGTAACCTAAGGGCACACTTAACTAATGGGATCCTATCGATGTTTCTCCCCCTCCAAGCCTGATCTTTAAACGGTGGAATGTTAATGTTTCCACAGCCTGTCCGTGTTATCTTTGGCTGCTCTGAGTCTGGCTTTATTGCTGTTTAGTCGGTCTATAATGTCATGGAGCTTGACGGATATGATTAAAAAAAAACGCAGTAAACCAACACTTCTGAGACTGACTGGACTATGGGAGTGATCGAGTTTATTCTGCACATGGTAAGAGGATAACACTATGCAATTTCTAAAGATAAAAAAAAACTGTTAAGTGTGCATTTGCACGAGAAGTGTCTGTTGCTGTGAAGAAAGCCATTATCTTGCCTTTACCTTTTACGAAGGTGACTGTTTCGTTAATAACAGCAGGGGGGATTTGCTTAGTGAATTCCTGTGTTACTCAAATAACAGCCTGACATTACTCGCCAAAAGTGCAGTTTTGCAATGTAGCTTTTTCCGAAGAGCAGATAATTAAATTTCAGACCGTGTTGTCTGGGAAACTCAGGCCCCTAGACTCTGCAATTATCGTGTAGAAGGAAGCCTTTTTGCATTGAGGTGCTATGTTCCCCAGCACAATGAAGATGAATTAGGTCTTAAAAACAAATGACTGCAGGCCTCTCCCCATCTGTAAAATGCAGTTCACCTCTAATGACAGCAATGACATTAAGTCACTGTGAGATATCGTTATGCTTAGGCAAACAACAGTAGATCTTGCACTCGTAGTTCTAGTAAACGTCTGACTTGGATTTCTGTGTGTGCATTTATTACTTTAATTATGTCTTAATTTGTGCGTTAGCTTTTACTTGTAACATCCGCAGGTTAGCCTGAATGTCGGGAGCACCTGGTTCATTTGTTCATGTCATGCTGATCTGCAGCATTGTTGAACATTACAGCGATCTGCCAAATTGAAATACCACTTGAATGCATGTGTTAATTAGGGCTCTGCGTGGCTTTTCAAAGTGTTCCTCCTCCTCCTCCTCCTCCTACTCCTCCTCCTCCGCCCGTGAATCATGTGCTGACTCTTGGACCTGTCACCGCAAACCCCAGAGCCTTTGCTGAGGGCAAACTGACAGGATAGCAAGTTGCTTTGGTTTTTCTCCCAGCCAACCACTGACAAATGTATTGGGACATATTGATTTACATTGTAGGCAGAGGAGAGCAATTTCCTCTAAAATTCTCGTGTAGCATCTTGGTTGCTGTTGCTCTTAGTCGACAATTGCCTGCAGACAAGGTTTAACTATTGCAGAAAAAACATCACATTGTAGTGAACACACACCTATTTAGGCTTCATTTGGTGGACATTTTTAAGTAGTAAACAGAGTTCAGAGAGATTGTGATGTGCACACCCACACACAGTTTTTTTTGACCTCACTGTTTTCAACTTTCTCCTGGTAACCAAATGGCTAAACAGATTTTTAGTGAGTGACGATTGTTATTTAGAGAAACTTCATTATAAGCCCCTTACACTGAGTGCCTGATGTTTTGGGTTGCAGCATTCTCCACGTGACAGTCAAACAATCTGATTCCCACCATTGGTCTGGTATCACACAGCAGTAATAAGGGGATAACATCAAAGCTCTGTTTTATTTCTCAGAGACATCAGAGCAAGACTATGAATAACAGATCACAAGGTACAAAGAGTGAACCAGAGAATCTGAGCTGATTTAATGTTTCAGCTGTTGTTTAGATTCACAGGGATCTCGTAAAAATACGTTGATTAGTAAAGGTCCCGATTCTGTGATTGTTGGCTGTGAAATGGCTCGACTAAACAAGCATATCTTTTGATGCAACGATTTTCTGTGCTGGAATGAGGCACTTGGCTCATTTTGGTTTATTCAAAGCCCAGTCATTTGATGTAGCGTTTTAGAGACGGTACTTGAATTGGAAATGTGTAACAGTACGCTCTTGTCAATGCAATTCATTTCTTCCTTTCATATTCCAGCGGGGGCTTCTGTATGTTAAATATCATGCAGGTGTTGTCTGCGAATTGGATTTGCATAGCAGATTTTCATTTCCCTCAAACCGGGAGTTTGAGATGAGCAGCATTTGTTGAATATCATCCATTTGCTAAATGAGGCTGACCCCCTGTCCCAGACAGCATAGCAGAGATTTCCCAGGTTGCAGTGATGTGCCAGCCTGCTCCACCTTGTAGTCCCCCCATCACCACGGCAGCTGTCAGCCCACACTCAGCCATCCACCACTTAGAGAGACGCTCTGTGAGGCCACCCAATGTCTTCCCAGCTATGTGAATCGTTTTTATAGACAGAGGGCAGATGTTTGGTAGCTTTTGTGTGAAAATCACGAGGGTCAAACGCAGGTCAGGGTGGGAGTAAAGAACTGTGGTCACATGATACATCCAGATCAGGCGTATAGGACATCATGGGCACTTCTGGATACCTCAGAGAACAAGGGACCCGTCTGCAGGGCTCAGACTCTGGATCAGCTGTTACATGGTGTTCAGTTGAGTTCACATGGGTTGATTTACAATGTGTCATGACCACAGGCGATAGGTCTGCTTTTAAGATAGACTTTGCGTCTTTGTTTACCACATTTCTGTGTTTTCTTGAATTTGCATGGATTTGCAAGTTGCCAGCAGGTCCAATTACGACAAAAAGCCCCGCTCTTGCTGGGTTAGCTTGCATAATCAGCAAACCTGAGGCTCGAGGTCAGGGAGGGCTCCAACCTGACGTTACAAGACCAAAGGGCTTATCGGAAATTGTTGTGTCTTCAGCTTGAGGGCAATCGGGTATGAATCCAAGCCTCCCGGTGACATTCAAAGCAAAAACAGCAGTCATAGCAGCAGGAGGAACAAGGCAGGGTTTAGGACGGCATCTGTTTGATCAGACTCGTCGGAGGCACTGGAGACGACAGGGTTGTTTATCCACCTCCATCTTACAGGAACAGCAGAAGAGCAGTCAGATACTCTTATCTGTTTATGGCACAAGATAAGGCTGCCTCAATCGGATCACTGACCCAACACTGACACTCTCCACCCCAAATACCAACCCTCTGTGCCCAGGGGTTGCCAGGCGAATCCCATATCACTTAAGTAATCCTAATAGGTGCCATTAGCATGTCCGCGGTTACTGCTGCAGTTTTCCAACATCCATGCCAACTGTACATATCAGGGCATCATTAGCCGGCATCAGAGAGGCTCAGAGTCTCACCCGGTCTGCAGGGTCAGAAAGAATGGAGCAACAATGCAGGAGTAAAGCTGTATGGGATATCAAGTGGAGGGGGCGAGGGAGAGGGAGCTCAGAGCGTCATAGTTGGCTCAGACGTTAGATAAGGGTAAGCTACCAGAGGATTATAGAGGGTGGAGATAAAAAAAATCTGCGGGTTAATTGGGCTTTATTTTTAATATTTTAGAGGGTTCACTTAATTGGTAAAGGATTTCAGCTCCGTCTGTAGTCTAAAAGTCATTTTGGAACAGGCTTTACAACCTGATGTTTGTTGATGCATTGTCGTTAAGCACAGGGTGTGTGTTTTTAAAGGAATGCTTTATTTGATGACCAAAATAGTTTCATTTGAAAATGCTTGCCTTATCCTCAGCTTAGTGATAGCATCAATAATACAATGAAAGTCATGAATTGGAGGTATTTAAAATCTTTTTTTTTTTTTTTAAAGTTGCCTTGTTAACTGTGTGATGAAATGTTACTAGTCTTTTATAACCTTTGGCCAGACATAGTAACCGAATGGATGGATATCATAAAGTTACATTGTCCAAAAGGACAAAGCAGGCGAAGCTCGGAGGCTTTGTTAAGAGCTTTACTTGGGAGGGACTGAGGCTGAAGCGGTCAATCCACGGCACTTTGCCATGACCCTCCTCAGTTTATCAAAGGTTGCACCACTTCTCCAGGCCTCAGTGTGTGGGTGTGTTTTTTTTCTGTGCGCGTGTGGTGTACTGGATGGATTGAGAGGCCCTTTTATAACCTCTTAACCCTCTAGTCCTGTTTGCAGCCATGGTTGGCCACAGTGAATGGTATCTCCGTGCCTTGAAAAGTAACCAGATGACATTCTTCCTGTTGTTCAAAAGGGCCTGGGGTTGTGTTGTGAAAAGCGGCTGAAAGGATAGGTGAAGACTGTGACTGTGACCTTCAGAGGCTAACCTCTGGCATGTCATTCTGAGGCTGTTTGAAGCAAACTCAGACCTTTCTCCCTGATAGCAAGCATACCAAGTCAAAAAAAGGCAGAAATTCCTGTTATTTTTCAACAGTTGCAAACCCAAAAGTTTTTCTTTTAACTTCCACTATAAGGGAACAAGGGGTTGTTTTGTATCGGCTGAACTGAATCGTTATTCCAGACAGGCAGAGTGTCTGACAGCTACATTGTCCAAACAGTCTCTCAGCCTGTGACTGAGCCCTCTGTACACAGACCTGTGGCATCAGCAGCCCCCTCTGCATGGCATGCTGAAATACCGCCGCTGCTGGGATGGCAGAGGGGATGAAATGCACTTAGTGAGACAGTAAACATCGGCACAGCTCTCAAACTAGCTTACGTTGTTTATGTCTCCTCCTCTCTCTGGTGTATTTGCTGTCTTCAGCTGGCTGCGTTTCCTGGAATGTGCAGAGATGCTGTTGTTGCTCTGCTTGGGGGGGGGGGATGTTGGCTGTAATCACAGTCCATAGTTCAGCTCTGTAGATGAGCAGTGATTGGACATAATATTCTCCTGAACTGGAACACCCTACTTGACATTGTGTGTGTGCATTGAGATTTTTGCAACGGAAGACTCTTGGACAAACAGCAGAAGCATATCCTTTTTTTCCTTTAATATTAAGAGGTTTACAAGTTGCTTTTTAAGTGTTTGCCTCACATTTTTGCAAACACTTAAAGATGAACTCAGCCTTCACAGCATAATGCAGTGTAGCTACCCAGTTGTGAAGACTCTCACAACTGCCTTAACCAGAAGCTTTTAGTCTACACTGACAATGAGGCTTTACCAATAATGTGTTCAAGGGGATCTGCTTTTCAACAAGTTAGAATAAACTTAAATGGCAATGTGCCTGTCAAAAATGATCTCTGAGAGCATGTCTTAGGGTAAGAACAATGTTTTCTCCTGAATAGCATTCCTGCTTCCTGTGCCACCTGTATGGGGTTACATTCGGGGTCAGACCTCTTGCAGGCGTCTGTTGTCCGGGCCCCTTTTTTAGGAACTGGTTGTTCTTTGGGGACTGACGCGAAAAAGAAAAGCTGTCGAGTTTTAAGGGCCTCTTTTGTCAGACACC